CTACGCTTGGCAGATTCAACTTGCTCTTATAAATTTTCTTCGTGAAGTTGTTCGATAAATTGTATATTTTCATTGGAAGAGATTAAGTAATAAATCGGTCTGCTGTTGTTCGTGAACTGAAGTAGACTATTGTTCTAAACCGAACACTCAGCTTGAATTTCATCGATTTTCTCTTTTGTAATTTTTCAACATCTTTCAAATTGTTGTTCATTTACTACTACACCGATTTTGCAAAAGCATTCCTATGTAGTACAGTCTATGTGTGATGTTCGTATGTCAAATCAGACTTATTATTTTCCTTTCACAACGACAAGTGACTTGAATTTGGCCATTAAGAAAATTATTTTTAGTCTAATGTTTATAAACACAGACGTTTATTTGACAATATACAGAACAAAAAACGTCAAAGAATATACTATAATATTATTATTAAAAAAAAATTTATAAATTATTTAAACTGCTTAAGAGTTATTCACAAAAACTTTGTGGGTGGATTTTCATAACATCTTATATTGTGTTGTTCTTTTTTTTTTTTTTTACAGATACAGCAGTTCATAATTTACTAAGTCGTTCAAATATGAGTGTTCAAACAAAAATTCTTCATTGTACAATGAAATTTATTGGAAAAATAACAGATCAAAGTCGAAAAGATTATACAAATTATGCTGCTAATCATTTAATATCACATTCACTTGGTAAAATGTTTCGAGCTTATATCGTTGGATTTACTATAACACCACGTACTTTAGGTAAAATAATAAAATAAAATAAAAAAAGAATAAAATAATTTCTTCTTTTTTTTCTCCTATAATCAATCATTCAAGCTGCACGTCTTCTTTTTCCTGATCGTCATACATGGGCATTATGGGATCAAGATGATAATGAACTACCAAAGAACGAATCAGCATCATCATCATCATCATCTCAAATTGTTACTAATGATAATAAAAAATCTCGTCCACATCGTCGTAATAATAAATCAAAAATAACAACAACGGATAATTTAAATACAAATGATGATTATAATACATCTATGGTTAGATCATTAGGTGATGATGATATACTTTTAGTTGATAAAGTATTAACATCAAATATATCAGAAAAAATTTCATTTCTTCATCCAACATTTGGTTATCTTTCTCGTGCACATTTAACATGTGGTGTTGCACCGGGTATAAATGCATCACAAACAGGTTCTGATATACTTGATATGATTAAAAAAGAAAGTGATATTATTGAAAAAAATATTCCTATACCTGAAAGTAATGATGAACGAACAGTTATGAAATTTTTTGGTAATGGAAATTGTATTGTTTATTTAAAAGAACCAATTCCAATTGAAACTATTTTTAGTGGATATTTTCATTAATCAGTTTTGTTATTTTCTTTTTTTTTTTGTTTTCTGTCAAAGTTTTCTTATAATCAAGCTTGAAAAGAGAAAAAAAGCTTTTCTTATCTTTTGTTTTTTTGTATTAGAAAAACTTATTTTTCTTTTTTATTTCAGATTAAATTGATTTTTATAGAAATAAAATGGAAACAGAAAATGAAGATGAACAAATTCAAAAACAATGTGTACAATTATTTTCATCAACTGATTTTATTATGGAACCAAAAGTTTTTGATACGATCAAAGAGTAAGAAAAATCAAACCTACAGAGTATACAGCACTTTTAGGGATCTTATCATGAAATATAGGATATTATGCTGAAAGTCGATATCTAGCTGAGAACTGACACTTCAGAATTATGTCTTTTTTTTAGTACAGTTCAAATATATAATATGATTAATCTAATAAATCTCGAAAAAATAGGTAATCATTGAGATGTGAAATGCTATGTTAATATAGAAAGTAAAATTAAATTGTTGTTTTAACTTATGTAAAAATTCGAAAAAAAAAATTTTTTTTTGTTCGATATATTTGTAACGTAAATCATTAAATGATTTCTACTTTTGTTTTTGTCTTTAGTTATTTTCGACATGGTGGTGCACCTGATCAAGTTATTGAATTATTATCAGAAAATTATATGGCTATTGCTCAAACAGCTACATTAATGGCTGATTGGTTGATATTAACAGGTGTTGAACCAGTTGATGTTGTAAATATGATTGTACAACATTTACAAACATTAATTGAAAAACATTTTGAACCTAAAAAAGCTGATAGTATTTTTGAAGCAGGAGGAGTAAATATTTATTTTTTATTTTATTTTCTTTATCTAGAAAATAAATGTTAATCTTTATTTTATTTAGGTACCATCATGGTTAACTGAAATGACTGAACATATGAATTGGCGTTCAATGATTTATAAACTAGCTGAAGAATATCCACATTGTCTTATGTTAAATTTTACAATAAAAGTAAAAATTAGAGAAAAAGAAAGTTTTTGTTTTAAATAAAAATTTGTCTTTCGAAAATAGCTTTTAGTTGATTCGGGTCATGAAGATGAAATAACAAGTGTACCTGTAGCTGCACAACAAGTTGAAGTATTTACAAAAGTACTTATGACAACAATACAACGAACTATTGATAGTGAAGCAGATGAATGGAAAAGAAATATTCAAGAACTTGTCGTATGTTTATATATCTAGACAATTGAACTTTTATTTCTTTCTTCGATTTAAGATTTGAAGACAAAAAAAAAATTCAGGTTCATTTTATGAGAGAAATTTCATAAATGTACTGTAATAAAAAGTTATATATAAGGTGCCAATGATTCAAAATTCGAGCACAATTAGTTTTTGTTTTTGACTCTTTTTATCATGGTTGGATAGAGCTTGTCGAGTTACCTACAAATATATTGTTTTTGACATATTCAAACGATGCCTCTGTAATGAAACTTATTCGTCATATAGTCAGAGAAAAAATCGGCAAAAAAAATGTTACTCAAATTTTGAATTTCCGGTACCTGATATTTTCATATTCTCACTCACATGAGTTACAAAAACTTCTAATATAAATAAAAACGAAATAGTTTTATTTTTGGGAAAATTTCTTTTTGTTGTTAATAGTCAATGACATAATCATTTTGTTGAAACTATCAGCAGTTATATTATCTAAAAAAGAAATATCATATAAAAAAATTGAATTTCTACTCTCTATACTTGGATTTTTTTTATTCTATTAGCAATTGGCTTGTCATAGTGAACATACATATTTATATGCACAAAGTGTCCTATCATCACTTTCTAATGATGCTAAATCAATGATTATTCGACGAATTTCTGAAGAAATTGAATTACATGCAAAAGAAAAGTAAAAAAAAAAGAAATAACTCTTTTATTATAATAATAACTAACACGTTTGTTTTGATTGAATTTTTAACTAGAGGTCATAATGTAACTGAAATAACTCTAACACTTGATGGTACAACAGCTTATCCTAAAGTTTATCAACCACTTTGTGCTATGTTATCTAAAAAAGCTCTAAATCCAGCTGATGTAACTACTGTAAGTACTTTCATATTTATATTCCTGAATCAAAATTATTATTTTTTTTTTCATAGCTTTATAAAATTTATCAATCACCTGATGCACCACCTGTTGATCTTATTCGAAAACCAGCTTTTATTGGTAAAAAAAAGATAGAAATTTGATTTAATAATAGTAAATATTCTTCATTAGAATTATTAATAACACAATTATTTGATCCTGATTCAACATTAAATCCTGAACATCGACCAAAATATATTGGTCTACTTGCTTATGCATGTAGTGTTGCTGAAACAAATAAAAAAGTAAGTAAGTTTTTTTTTTTCAACACGAAAATAAAACCAAAAGAATTTCTTTTCTTTTCATAGAGTTCACGAAAAAATACCGTCAATAGTAAAGAAGAATTATCTCAAACAACTATAGCACTTGAAAAAGCTCTTGAAATATGTATTAGTTCAAAATCAACTGTTGATCTTATTAGTGATCTCAATGAACTTTATAAATGTCTTCGGTAATAGTTTTCAAAAATTTGAAAATAAATAAAATCATTCGATGAATTATATTTTATGTCTTAGATTTCCAATAGTAGCTGCATGTGTTCTTCGTTGGATTGAATTTCGTATATTTGATCCAAGTTATTTTAAACTAGATCAAGGTACAACGCCTGTTCATTTAATTATTATTGATGAAGTAAATAGAAAAGTTTTGTTTTTTTTTCTTAATTATAAATCTTAATGGAAATTTTGTTTAGATTGTTAGTCTACATTTTTTATTACATCAAAAAGCTTTTGAATTGTTAGTTCGTTTTTTTGAAGCAACATTTGCTGAACTTGATACACTTGTTCATGTAAGATAATTTAATTGTTTACAATCATAACAGAAGCCAAACCAGAGTTCGAAAAAAGCTCTTCCTACCCTGTTTCGGCCTCTGAATGATACATGAATATATATATATATTTGTTTTTTTAGTTGGAATTTAAAAAGACAATTCTTGATCGTATGGTACATATGCTTAGTTGTTCGTATGTACATCCAATATTAGAATATATGAAAAAACGTTGGGAACAACAAGATACTGATGTATCACTAATTCGTCATTTTGTTTTTGAAGTAAATTAAATGATTTTATTTAAAATTGTAAATTTATTGTTGTTGATGTTTTTGATAAAGGTTCTTGAAATGATTGGTCCTCCTTATGAACCATCATTTGTACAATTATTTCTACCTTTACTTCAAAAAGAAGCTATTGCTGGTACAATACCATTTCGTACTGAAGAAGAACGAAAATGTGTTAAAGAATTTATTGGTACTTATTAAATAATTAAAATTTATAAATATATATAAAATGTGTTTTTCTTTTCTGTTTTAGATCATGCATCAACAATTGTTTCCTCGAATACATAATGAAAAGAATTTTATATTGTGCATCTCTTTATTGTTCTCAATGTCATTTTTTCTTTTTTTGTTTTAATGACTTGAGTGTATAGAATTATTTTGTGTTTTCTCTATGAGGAAATAAAAAAAAACAATTCAACTTTGATATTTATTTATTAAATTCTTGTAGAAGATAGATGCGTTTTTGTCCTAATATATCTACATTATTCAATGATATACCAAAACTTACTGAACGATATATTCATATTGTTCAACGGTAAACAATTGAGAAATCAAATCTTTTTTCTTTTTTCTATGTTTTGCTAATCTATTATTGTATATAGAAAAGATTATCGATTTGATGCTATTGAATGTCAAAATCCGTATGATGTATCTGTGAATAATTGGAAAGAGATAATATCAAATAATAAATCATTAAAATGGATTTTGATTAATAGTTTACCACTTTATGATCAAACTAATATGATACCTTCTTTTAATGATTATCAACAATTGGTTCTTAATCGTACACTTGACTATGCAAAAGCATTGAATGTCAAAAAAGTTCATTTAGTGATGATGGATATTACGAATGATTCTGATCGGTAAGATTATGTATGAATATTTTTTATGCTCTTCATTGCATATTTTAACATAATAATTAGTCATTCGTCGAGATATGCTAAGAATCGTAAGTTTATGTATTCTAACATTAGCAAAATTTAACCAAATCAATGATATGTAGCCTCTGAATAAGTCAAAATATGTCGGTATGAAGAGCCAAAATCAATTTGAGTGAATACTACTAACGACAAAAAACTTGCGAATCATATTTTTAATATAAAAATACCGAGTTTATGATTAGATCGAATTCATAGAGACATAAGAATAGAGACTCAAAATACAAATAAACATTTAATGAAAAGATGCAAAGTGTTCGTATATTTTTTGAGTATTTTTAATATATTCTTGAATAACATTTGTCAACAGGTCATTTCATTCTTAACATTACTGAGCTAGTATGGAAACTTATCAAATACAAAATTTCTAAGAAGAATCCTAAAATAACAACGTTAACTGAAAAATGTGACCGATGAAGCATGGAATGACCTATGAACAAATGTTATTCAAAAAAATATTAAAAAACCTCAGATGGTATATAGATACTTTGTATCTTTGTGTTAAATTTTTATTTGTATGCTAAGCATTTACCCTTGTACCCTTAATTGTACTGAACCATGTTCTGAACAAGTACACTCGTATCGATATCATCTTATTTGAGTCGAAAGCCGAATCATAAGCTGGAACATTGCAAATGAAACTATTCATCATCCAGCTCATGAACTGATGGTCTGTCATGTAAGAACTTGTGCCTGTACTTAAATAGAATGACTCTAGGTGATCTATGTCTAATAGCTAAACTTTTTCCAACTATTAAAGGGCAGTGTTTTATCTGGATTTTTTTCTTCTGAAAGGATGATTTAGAACTCCGAGAGGGTGAACATCTATTGTTGGCAGTACAGACACATAGTAAATGGTACCAGAACCACAAGCTCCAAAAGGATCAACTCGATACTCGGAGGGGTGCGGGGCTTCCTCAGCCTCTACGCTGGATGAAGCACTGCTAAAGGGACGTGAATGTCCTCTGTACATCCACAAACTCATAGCATACATTCCCATAAAATGAAAAACTGGAACAGTCAACGATTAGAGCTACTAGCATCCGTAGACTCGTTCTCGACAAAAAAAAACCAGATCACTACATTCAGTTCTTCTAAAGGAATTGGTACTTTGAACAGTGAGCTTTCACATGTCTAATCATATGAAGAATTTTTGAAGAAATTATACTAGTACTTATTCAAATCTATTTGTTGAATTACAAAGATTTTCTATTTAAACAAAAATCATCAAGATGTGTAGAGAAACTTCAAGAATCAACTGTCTATGCTATTGTAGGTGTAATTAAATTCAAAGATTAACGCATTCAAAGCATCGCTATGTTATTTTACAATTTTCGGTTTGTTTTTTAGACAAAAGATTATTGATCTTGTGTATCAAGCAGCTCGATTTTTTCAACCACATCATATAATATGTCTAATTGAACCACTCTCAACACGATTAAATTATTATTTACAATCATATTCGATAGCAATGGATATTGTTAAATCATCAAAAATCGCTAATTTAAAAATTATGCTTGATTCATTTCATTTACAACGATTACATGGAAATTTAACTGAACGAGTTGAAGTATTCAAATTGAATTTAACTAATTCTTAAACAATTATCACTATTTTTTTTTGTTCAGGAAATGATACCATTTATTGGACATGTTCAAATTTCACAAACACCTAAACGCGATTGTCCAATGAATGAAGATGGAGAAGTTAATCATCGATATTTTCTTTCGAAACTTCTTGCACCATTTTATCAAGATTTTATTGGACTTGAATATAATGGTAAGAGAAATGTAGAGAGAAATATCTCAATATGGGCTCTTTTTTTGTTTTTGATTTTCAGATTCAAGTAAAGCATCATTCGAATGGCTCAATGAATTTTCATAAATTGATTTTTGAAGTGTGTTTTCTTTCTTTGATTTTGACACTAAATAGATATTTGATAAATGTAATTTCGTAAATTTTAGTCTCTGTCGTTTTATATGCATGATATAGTTTATTGATAGGAATAAAGAATCCACAATGTCGCCGATGATTCAAGTGACGTTTTTATACTAAGTGATCAGATTTCTAATCAAAAAAAGTTTTTTTTTTTTGTATAAATTTTAATAGAATAAACGAGAAGACCTTTTATCGAACGGGCAAAATTGTTATAATTTTTCATTCTGTCCATATTAGCATAAGTTAGAGGAAAAATGAAATAATTGCAAGAAAGTCTACAAAGTAAGATTCATGTACCGGGCGGTCCAAAGTAACCTAACACAGAATTTTTCACTTTTTTTCTTTTTACACCGTCTGTTGGATCTCATATTTATACCACATATACTAGCTGATATAACTCAAAGATGCAGCATATGGTCAGTATCTAGATGCAGTAATTTGTTCAAAAGTGTACGAATACAGCTCAGTCAAAGTTCGGGTAAGAAATCTGAGTTCTAACAAAACGTTTATTAAAGCAATAGAACTAGAAAATGACATACACAGTAATACATAAATTTACTTCTGAAATATTTTTAACAATGAAGTTTTTCACAAAAATTGCTCAATGTGTCCACCTTCTAAATTTTTGCAAACCTGCAATCGCTCAGGTACTGATTCACACGCTCGTCGACATAATTCGATTGGTAAGTTTTGTATTTCTGTAATAATAGAATCCTTGAGTGCTTGAAGAGTTCGAAGTTTTGTCGCATACACATGATCTTTGATTAAACCCCATAAAAAGAAGTCAGTTGGAGTCCAATCTAGAGATCGTGGTGGCCAGTCAATTGGTTCACGTCGATCGATCCACCGATTAGGAAACTTTTTATCCAAGGAGTCTCGAATAGACTGAGCGTAATGAGGTGGAGCTTCATGGTGCATATAGAATATTTTTGTTAAATTCATTTGATATTCACTAGCAGGAACAATTTGTTTCTTCAGCATCTTAAGATAGCTGTGTACAGTGACACTGCCATGAAAGAAGAACGGGCCCATGATACCTCCAGACTACACTCCATCCATACAGTAACACTCGGTGTGTTCAATTCTTCCGTAATGACGATATGAGGATTTTTCACAGCGTAGTAAACATAATTATTTCGATGGACATGTCTATTCAACTTGAAAGTAGCTTAGTCCGCCTAAACAATTTGGGCAAGCAACGAAGGGTTGTCAAAAACCAAGTTCAGAAAAATATCGGCAAATTCGCAACGTCGATTGGGTTCGTCTTCGTTCAAGGCACGTAGTAAGTGAGGACGATAAGATTTCAATCCCAGCTCCTTCATCATCCGTTGAAGGCTGGTTCTAGCTAAGTTCAGCTCCAAAGAGGCTCTTCTAGTTGACATCTCGGGACTTTCTTGAAAAGCGCCACGAATGGGTTCTCGATTTTCGTCGGTACTAACAGATCTAGGCTGACCGGATCTAAGTTCATCTTCGACACTTCCAGTTTCGTCGAACTTTCGTACAAGATCCAAGATGCTGTTTCGTGCAGGAGGAGTTCGATTGTAATGTTCCTGGAACTGAGGACCAACTTCAACTGTATTCTGGTAAATTTCATACCGCTTGACGATCTCAGTTCTCTCTGATTTGGACAGCCGAGAACGTTCACTCATGATTAAAAATGACCTGAAAAAGATTAAGTATTATTAGGTTGCAATGGTCATTTACTGCTTAGTTTTTCTCCGATCATGTCACACACGTGACTAAACAGAGTGCTGGAATAAAAATGTACAGTTAAAACTGTGTTCAGGATCGAGAATATAAATAGAACGAAAAATAAACCAGTGGATGGAAGAGTAAATCACTTGTACTGTTGTCTACAGATATCACCTCTAGCATATACATAAGTACTAGTAGGAGGGATAAAATAGTATATGTTATGACAACAAAACTATAACTGTTAAACGTACTTCCTTACTTTTAACAGTCCTGTATTAGTACGCTTTTGAACAAATTACTACATCTAGATGCTGACCATATGCTGCATCTTTGAGTTGTATCAGCTGGTGTATGTGGTATGAATATGGGATCTAACTGACAATGTACAAAGAAAAATAGTGAAAATTTCTGTGTTAGGTTACTTTTGGGCCACCCGGTATATATAAGTTTTTGTATAATATGTCTGTTTGATTTTTGATCATATACAGGTTATTAGAGAGAATCAACAGTAAACAGAGAGAAATACATTCTATTGCTCTTTTTCTATGATCATATAGAACATTAAAAGCAAATTTTAATATCAGTGTGTGGAGTAGAATTTGCTCGACAGTATATCCAATACGTATCTCTTTTAAAATCTCGCCACAAAGACTCGAAATTTATTATATTTTAAACTAAATACTGATATTGAGAAACAAAATATTGTTTTAGCTATACAGTAGCTCTTCGAAAAATGCCTGTAAACATTGTTCATTTTGTGTCAACTGTAATATTGTAGAGAATTGATTGCTTTGTAAGGATAGGTAATTAAACTAATGTCGGCGCCAGAAACAGATGGAGAAAACTGTAGGAGTAATATCTCGCGAACGGATCTAGCTAGCAATCTCATCTTTTCAGCGTTAGAAAGAGTAGTCTTTCGGGAACAAATCTATATTAAATTCAATAGGTGAGCGAGTGGTCAAGGCTGTTAATTACCGTTGAAGATTTTATGCCTTATCGGACAAAAACGTTTTCGAATAGATTTTTAATTCCAAGGTAATCATTCGATAGCGCAAAGTCTACTCTCTTAATCTACGAAAGTCCGAACTTTTTATCTTGTAGTATTCAAAAGTTATTCAAGTTACACTGAGTATCTGTAGCGTGTCAAAAATATGGTTTTTTTTCGAGAGAGAAGAATCTTTTCATTGTTGGTGCATGAGAGTTTTCGACCAATCTCATCCATATACATATATATATATGTATAATATTATTACTAACTTAATTCTTTCACGTGTTTAAATCGTACCCCAAGGCGTTCATTTCACTACTGAAATCAAACAAATATTTTTCTGTGTTATTGACTTCGTCGAAAGTAAAAAAGACGGACCAAAATTTCCAATGAATAATTCGACTGCACGCATTTTGACAATGCTGGGTATTTCTGAGTCGTCATTATTTAATTTGAAGAAGGGAATGAAGGCAATACGTGAATTACAAGAAGAGCAAATGAATGAAGAAAAAGAGAAGCGCTTACGACTCTGATCAGCGTCACAAACTCAATCGATGAACATTTCAAACGAAAAGCAGAATATATCAACTTGGTCCATGTCTTATAGAATGAACACGATTCTATTGAAGGTTCCTAGTAAGATTCCGGTACGTCCATCAATTCCATTATCTGAAGAAGCTGATGATGAAATTCTATTTCAGTTTCATCTATTGTTGGCAGAAAAAATTTATCCTACTGTTGCTATTCTTCTTGAACGTCTTCTCACAGCTCACAAAGATTTTCCAATTCGCTGACAGGCAGCTCTTCGGCGGCATATGCATCGATTGAGCGTTTTTTATCAAAGGACAAGCAAAGTAAAGGTGGCACTAGATGATAACTCTTTCGTGGCCCAACGTGCTTTTTATTTCCGCAATCTTGACGAATTGCGAAAAGCTGGTGCTTTAATTTTGTTTCACGACGAAACGTGGGTGAATGTCGGCGAGGAGAAAAGATCAATCTGGATTGATGATTCTAGTAAAGGAAGGCTTAGAAAAACCGATGGCAAAGGTAATATACTAACAATTATGCCTGATATAATATTCATACATATTTTTTATTTAGGTTCTCGTTTGGGAATATCTGCTAGGATCGATAAGAATGGTTTTCACTTACCATCTGTTGAGATCTTCAACTCTTCAGAAGATCATTCAATGACCTCAGCACACTTTATTGAATGGATTAAAAAAGTAGCTTTTCACCTGAGAGAGGATAACGGTAAATTTTGCTCAAATAAGAATTTCTTAAATTTTATTTTTGAAATTAGGTCAAAATCGAAGAATAGTCATAGTGATCGATAATGCCACATGGCATTCGGAACTTACAGAAAGTTCTAAACTTGCCAAAAGATCAATGAGAAAAAATCAAATAATTGAATGGTTGGAAAATCATGGAATTGAATTTGATTCAACATTAAAAAAATCGAAATTACTAGAGATTGCTTTGAAGAATAAATCCAGAAAAAAATATAAAGTATAGATAGTTTTATAATACTCATATGTTATGAACTTATATTACTTAGGTTGACGAAGTCGTACAAGAGTTCGACGTACAAATCTTGCGGCTCCCAGTGCGACATTGTTCATTAAATCCCGTCGAGATCGCTTGGACTAGATTAAAAGAATATGTTCGTAAAAACAACACTAACTTCTCGTTGACCAGCGTCTATGAATTAGCTTCCGAATTTATTGCTGGTTTCGATGATAAACCTGCACAAAGTGCAATTCGTCGTGCTGAAAAAGTGGAAACAACGTACAAAGCAGCAGATGAATTCGTAGAAAATACTGTTGATCCACAATTAATCGACGACGCATCAGATATCGAGACTGATAATCTTTCTGATGCTAGCTATGATAGCACCGAACTTTGACTTTATTGACTGATAGTTTTTCGTGCAATAGATTCACAACATTGAAAATACAGAGAAAAAGAAGCGAGAATGTATGGTGGACAGTGTCAGTTGCATTAGATTCAGAAGAAAGCTATAGAACACAGTGGTGATCGAAGTGAATTATGTCGGAATGACTAATCACTTGTCGTTATGCGACTTAAATTGGTCGAAAACTCTCATGCACCAACAATGAAAAGATTCTTCTCTCTCGAAAAAAATCATATTTTTGACACGCTACAGATACTCAGTGTAACTTGAACAGCTTTTGAATACTACAAGATAAAAAGTTCGGACTTTCGTAGATTAAGAGAGTAGACTTTGCGCTATCGAATGATTACCTTGGAATTAAAAATCTATTCGAAAACGTTTTTGTCGGATAGGGCATACAGTCTTCAACGGTAATTAACAGCCTTGACCACTCGCTCACCTATTGAATTTAATATCGATTTGTTCCCGAAAGACTACTCTTTCTAACGCTGAAAAGACGAGATTTTTAGCTAGATCCGTTCGCGAGATATTACTCCTACAGTTTTCTCCGTCTATTTCTGGCGCCGACATTAGATGGTATTTGAGTTTCATTCGAATATGAAATGCGATGCAAAGCACGAATTTCGAGTATCCGGAAAAAGGAAATTTTCCATAAGAATATATATACAGCATGTAAGCAGACGCCATCTACTTTTTAACTTATTAAACAATCGATGTATATGACAACTACTAGGTGATAAACAATCAATCTTTTCATTTCAACAATTATTTCCTTGTTCAAATTTACTTCGAAAAATGACTTCATCATCAATTGGACTGATCATATGAACGAATCAACATTTACCAATGATGAAGATACCAATACTCACTCACCATAAATTTGTTGACACACATGAATATGATGGATTGGCAATACATTTTCGACAAATTAATGATGGATAAATAAAGAACAAAGTTCTGTTGACTCAAAATTATCAATCAAGGAGTCGTGTACAAACTCTCGTCACATTTATTTCAAAAAAACAAAAACAAAATCCAAGAATTCAAAGAAAAACAATGCTGATAAAAATTTTTTATTTAAACGTGTTAAATTAACCGAACATGAATCATAGAATATTAAATATAATTTAAAAAAAACATTAGATTCAATTGGAAAACACTCCGCCACATCATATACTAATGGAAAAATATTAACGACATAGCAAAATATGATTGCTCTGTAAAGGTTATTTTTATTCTTATGCACAAGCAAATGAAGCATCTCAAGTAACCACATTATTAATGATAACTTCCATTTTTCAAAGTATCAGCAAGTCATTGAGTTGAATGAATTGGATGATGATACTGTACTGAAAATTCGACGAACGAATTTCAGTAATATTTTATTACTTCTTAAAAGTTTAGGTCTACATGATTTTGATTATATATGAAGTTAATATCACTAGATTTATTACGTTTAGGTAAGTTTTTAATATTTAATATTCTATGTTTGATAAAAACTCTTGCTCTTATTAATCTTTGTAAGCTATTATATTGTGCTTTTTTTTAGATATAAATCAGTCTCATTCAATCGACTTTTTGTTTTTTTTTATTCTTTGTATCATTTGAACAGTTTTATGCTCTCGATGCATTGAATCATAAAATTGAATTAACAAATTTTGATTATCATATAGCCAAATTTCCACTTGATAAAATTCTATCAAAAGCTAATCTTGCAGTTATCTACCAATAATATACTTTTTTTTTTCGTTTAAATGATAGAAAAACTTTTAGTCTACATAGCACAACACATAATTATTTAATATTATTGAATGACTACAATCAATGGAAAAATGCAAATTATTCTACACAACCGGTTTTTTTTTTGTTGAAAATTTTGTTCGATGAATCGTACTCAACAAGTACTTGATCAAATTGAGCATAAAATAGAACGCGTTAAAATTAAAAGTCATTCTATCAGTATATATAATAGAATAAAATTTTCTAGAAATAGATGTTATAAAACTATAGGTCATCAGTAAAGTGTACATTAACTTGTTTGTTTATCCAACAAAAGAAAATTTAAAATAAGTTATTCAAATTGAAAATAAAATAATGATGGTATTAATCAGTAAAACATGCCGAAAGTTGAAAGTAACATGAAGTTTTTTATTATATATTTTGTTGGTTGTAGATATTTTTTCCAGATTAAAAAATGATCATATTAGATACATACTCTCTTTTTTAATTTCACTGATACTTCTAATGTTTTTCTTTTCGAATAGAATAATTTTGTGAAGTATGTTAAAAGATATTTTAAAATTTATTAACCTTAAAAACCAAAAGTTTTTTTTGCAACAATTAAGTGAATAATAATTGAACATTGTGTATATAAAAATTATTTCGATTTCTTTTCAAAAAATTCAAATGTATTTATCATAAACAAGAGCTCTGTGTTAAATTTCGATTGCTCACAAAAACCTATCAAACCTATTTTTTATTTTCACAAAAGTAAGATTTTATAATCTCTTAACGTTGACTACAAAACTTCATCTATATTATGTTCTTTATAATACTACATAAGAGAATTTCATTTTTCAGATTTTTACACCATAATAGAGAATAATGTCAGAACGATATGGTTTTTCCTTAACAACATTTAGTCCTTCGGGCAAACTTGTTCAAATCGAATATGCTCTTAATGCTGTAAATGCCGGTTCACCAGCAGTAGGTATCAAAGCATTAAATGGAGTTGTATTGGCCACGGAAAAAAAGAGTAAATCATTATTACATGATGATCGTACAATCCACAAGGTTGAACCAATTTGCAAAAACATCGGCCTTGTTTACAGTGGTATGGGTCCTGATTACAGGTAGTATACATACAATTGATCTTCACTGTATCATGATTAAATTCTTATTCTTAATATTTCATTTGTTCACTGTAGATTACTCGTGCAGAAAGCACGTAAATTAGCTCAAGAATATATGCTTATTTATGAACAAAATGTACCTCCAACACAATTAGTTAAACGAGTAGCTGATGTTATGCAAGAATATACTCAATCTGGGTATGGATTTATTTTAGTTTTCGTTAAGAAAATATGAATAATTAATAATAAATTTTTAGTGGTGTACGTCCATTTGGTGTCTCTCTACTTATTTGTGGTTATGATTATGATGAGGATCGACCATTTCTCTATCAATGTGATCCATCAGTGAGTCTTTTCCTTCATATTATAACAAAAATTTGTACATATTTACGTTTTCTCTAGGGTTCATTTTTTCCATGGAAAGCAACAGCAATCGGACGTAATTTTGTCAATGGAAAGACATTTCTCGAAAAACGGTATTAGTTAATTTTTTTTTCTATTCCTTACAATCATTGAATGTCATTATGATATATATATTTAGATATTCAGATCAATTAGCACTTGAAGATGCCGTACATACTGCTATATTGACACTTAAAGAATCATTCGAAGGTCAAATGACAGAAGACAATATTGAAATTGGTATTTGTGATAAGGAAGGTTTTCGTCGTTTGACACCTGCTGAAGTCAAAGATTATTTAGCACAAATTGGTTAAGACTTTTTTCTTTTTAACGGATAGAAGAAAATATTTTGAATAAATAAGTTGATGTGAATTGATGACCATGCGTTTTATATTTGTTACACTTTTTTTCTTCTTTTGTTTCTATCTTTATGGTCGTCTTTACAAACATATAATAAACATGAAATCTTTTTTTTTCGCTAATTTTATATATTTTTAATCGAATGAAATATGTATTTGATTTGAACGGATTCTATAGTACTTGGGTCCGCAATTCAGGGTGAAAACTTGATTTTTTTCAGTTTTGATGTTTTTTGCTCTTTCTCATTTTTTCTAAGTAACAAAAGATATTGATTATACAATGTGTCTATGGTCATATGGAGGACGCCACCAGCTACGACCAACGCTATTTCAAAAAGCCGCAGCTGCTATTAAATATAAATAATTATTCATTTTATATATAACTGTCTCTTTTCTCATCTTGATTTTTCTATTTCACTGCTAAGGATTTGTTGCAATTTGACACATCTGTCATACGCTCACATACATTAAATTAATTATCATTTGCCAAGAGCGTTTTATTTAATTATTCTTATTTACTTATTTATTTAAAAAATGAATATTGATCCTGATATCGGTGGTGATGATGATAATCGTAGTCATGGTGGTTTTCGACCAGGTGCTGATAGAAAACGAAAAGCAGCAAGAACATCAATTCAAATCATGGCAAATAAAAGAAGAGAAGAAGCTGCACGCAGACAACAAATATCCAGATATAAAGCTAAATTGACAGAATGGATAGATAAACTTAAATGGTCACATCTAATATGGATACACCAGATAAAATATAATGAACTCTTATTCTCTTTCTCGTAGAGAAGAGTCTGGCAAGAATAAATTGTTTGCTTGCTTGCTTGATTGTATGTCCGCACTTCAGTGAGTGATACAAGAATAAGGTGAAAATAAAAGGGATTATTTTCCATAAAACTTGACCAAAAGGTAATCGAGGGTGAGGAATCCAAACCTGACGACAGTTTTAGTTAATTAATTAATAACTAGTTATTAACTAATTATTAATTATTATTACTTTAAATAAAAATTCAGCAAACGTAATCAAAGATGAGTAACCCAAATCCGAGATCAGTTTTAATTAATTAATTATTCATTTTTTTCAAAAAAATTGTCCAAAGGTAATCTGGGGGTGGACAATCCGAATCCAAGGCCGGTTTTAATTATTAATGTATTATTATTTAATTATTAATTATTTATATTTTCGACAAAACTTGATCGAAGGTGATCGATGGTAGAGAACCCAAATTTGGAGTCTGTTTTAATTATTAATCACTAATATTTTTTACAACACTAGAAAAGTGGAAATTGATGGTCAGGAACCTGAATCCGAAGTCTGTTTCGATTTTTTTCTAAGTACTACTATTATTAGTGTCTTTTCTGGAAAACTTAATCAAAGATTTTTCAAGTAGAAAACCAGAATCTATGATGAGTTTGTGTTGATAAGCTAGGAATGCTAAGGAGTAGTAAAACATACTAATGTCATCATAGTTTAGGAAAAAACTTCATTAGAGGAAATTCAAAAACAAGAATTTCAATCTGGAACTAGTTACTATTAGTAATATAGATAAGTGAATAATTTGGGGAGAGTCAAGAAACAGCACTTCTACGCGAAAGAGCTGAGGGGGTCCACAGACGATCGTAACTTGTTAAATAAGAATATTTCGAAAAGTATTTTTGGACTTAGCGACTAGAGCAGTTGATGTTCATTATAGATATTACTTTTCATTGTAAACTAGTTGTCATCTATACCAAATAAATAAGTTCTGAAACAACAAAAATGTAAGTTACACTTTTTTACTCATACATTTTTTTTATTCTCCTCATAAGGTCAATTTGATGATCGTTCAATACTATTATACTATTAGATAGCCCACATCTCTCTTTAGCAAACACCCAAGTATGACCATAAAATAACAAAAAGCTTTTGCAGTAGAAGTAATTAAACAAACCATCCCTCACCCTGAATTGCGGACCAAAGTACTATAGTTATAAAGAAATAGAGACAGAAAGTATTTCAACTGTTATAAAGAAAAATTACAAATATGAAAAAATTTATTGATTATTTGTATAGCATGGGTATTTCTATTTACTGCTTTTCAAGATATTTTGTAATTATCAATAAATTTATTCTTGAAATAAAGTGTCCATTTAAAATAGTCTATCAAATCTAGAATCAAGTTTAAACGTCGAAAGTAATGTTGGTGTAAATTCCATGACTTTAATCTATGTTTTTTTTAAAATATTTTCTACGATATTATTACTTCATATAATGGTAAGTTTAATAATCATATAAATAAATATTGTAAAATATTTTTTTACATAGATACATCTTTGGTTCGAAATGGATAATTGTAATATGCCAATTTGATTATCTTGCATTTATTGTGTCAAATATATATGCTAAATCGGGATCAATGTATCCAGCATCAATCTTCATACATTTTCCTGTTGTATCATTATGAAAATATGTATATGACATACATTAGAATTCTTAACAGAATATCAAAAGAAAAAAAAGATCTGAAATAGATCTAACAAATTTTTCTCGTATGTTTTTGTTTGTTTGTTGTCAAAGAAGTTAGTTAGGAAATTCAATAAATAAATCTTTTCATTATTTTTCTTTGACTTCGTTAAGGTCAAATTTACAGCAGTGTTCAGAATACTAAAAGAGAAATTCCGAAAGTTTTGGAAATTTCAAACGTTTGCGTTTCAAATTGTTCGGTATCTCCCAAAATTATGTAATTTGTGGAATTGCTGTAATTCGGTATTAACCGAAATTTCCAATATTTCTAAAAACTTTTGATTTACACTACTGTGTGATTATTGAGCTAATAGAAATTTCGGAAATTTTGTTAATTTTCTTTTTTTGAAATTCTGAACATATCTCGATAGGAGATACGAGAAAAGTTAGAACTTGTTCAATGAACTAATCTCATTGAGAACTTTGTTCATGCAAAGTTTGAAGTCAAAATTCGAAAGTTGATTTTCTACGTGATCTAATGGAAACCACTTTTTTTGCTGGAAAAATCCAGTAAAATTTCGATATCTTACGAACAAAAAACTCGAAAAAATCAAACCATTCTAGACTTTTCTATTACTCATTCAATGAATATTGTATTAGTCAAAAAACAATTTAACACGTAAAGGGACTTTCTCGTTAGTCACCTCATGACTCTGCTACTATGATAGACTTTCGTGATTTGAAATTTATATTCATGACTATGTACATTAAAAATGAGGGAAATAATCTTTCGATTGTCACACGATGAAGAGATAAACATAGAAATGACTCATATTGATGATTAGTTTACTAATAAAATAAATAAAGCCACAATGCATATGATATGAAATTATTTCGTAATGCATATGAAGACGTGATCATTGAGTAATACGAGATATCATTGGTTCGTGAAAAATGTAAACTCGATTTATCTTGTATCTTCATTATAAAGACGCTTACTTTAATTCTATTTATAAATTAATAGAAGATTATATGTGCTGAAATATTTTTTATCGATTACTAACTTTATTATATAGAATATCGTATCAAAAGAAAACATATTACGTTATAAAAAACTTCATGAAAACCGAAATATTTGAATTTTTTGATCGATCTTATTTTGACAAATATGACAATAGTTCAATGTTTGAGAACATTGAAAACATGCGAGATGTCCACAAAGAAATACAATATCGTTTGATCTTTCCATACATATAGAACAACTTTGTTGATCTTCAAGTATTCATTTGATCTTGTCTTCCAATCCTTCCATTTAATTATTATCGTTCGACATAATTACAATAAATTTAACTTCTTCTGATTTTTTAATTGAAAATATATTGCTGCCTATAAAAAATACAATAAAATAAAATAAAAATTTAGTATTGAATTTTCATAATGTTATTAATTTCAATTTTCCTCCCCATCTCCTTGTAAAATGTTACGCCAACGATCATGATTAATTGTACAATATAATTTAGCAAAATTATTAAAATCTTTAACAAAAATTTTTTGTAAATATTGAGGATTTGTATCTGCTGTATAAATTAGAAGAAGAGCATTTTGTACAATTTCTTTAGCTGGTCTTCTCTTCTCAATATAACTAGTTCCATGTAATTTGATTCGATGTAAATGACTATCACCTTGATGATATAGTACTCGTTTCAGTACTCCTTTTCCCTTAAAATCATGTAATGTTACCAAATCAAAATTATTTAATTTGTCTAACACAACAACGAATATTTCTGACACATCATCATGAAGTTGAACAGCGATGCCGTGTAATAATTTTAGATGGTGCCATCGATACAAATGATCACCAGGACGAACATCAGATACGGAAATATTATGGCAAAGCATTATGTTAAAATACTGGATTCGTTTTTTCTTCTTTTAGTTATTATGTTTTATGATACTAGTTATTTATATCATTTCTTTTTTGTCATTGTTAATGTAGGAATTTTCCCACGGTGTTACCTTAGGTCGTATTGGGAATTTCCCTAGTGTGTTCTTATATATGTTCGTATTCGTTCTGTTCTATGTCGTCAGTATTACTTTAATTATCTAGTTCTCTAACCGTTCTTCTTGTACCTTGTGTATCTCTTTTTCTTCTTGTCATCATAACCAAGATGTCACTAATAAACTGAACTCACACATACACATAAAATTCTACAGTCACGTTTTTTTATTTAAGCTTTGAGTTGTCGTTTGTCATGACCTAGGCCAAATATAACAAAATATTCAATAGAAGAAAGATAAAATCAATTTCAACGAATATTAACGATAAATATGCTTCGCCTAACAACACAACATCATTCATACAGTCATCATCATAATTTTTTTTTAAACTTATCATTCAGAACGTCGAATTATGAGTCATATTTGACTGATACTTTTTCATTGAAAGAACTCATATGATCCTAGAAAAGAAGTATTGAAGATCTACTTTATGAAATTCAAGTCTAGGTAGACGATATCAAACGTAGTTATGACTAATTTTATCCCATATTAGAAAATATCTGTGGACTTTAAGAGATTTTTATATTTATTATTACTAAATTCGAATAATAGCAGTAGTATGATATAAAATATCATAATAGTTTATAGTTAAATCACATGATTCTTTATACGAATATTTGCAGTGGAAATTGTTCATATAAAATTGAGAGTATTTGTGAAAATTTTTCTTGTACTAGAATATTAAGAATTCGTTGACTTTTAAATGATCGCTAATATCTGATCACTTACGTCCAAAATATAAACATCAGAATAATTCAAATTTGATTTTAATTCAAATGATGTTATCAAAACACATATCCATGTTCAATGTTCACTTGTAATCGTTGTCATCGAAGGTGAATGGAATAGATAACTTCATTGAAAAACTGTATGTCAGTGTGGAATAAATGAACGTACGCTTTATGAGGGATGTTAACTCGTGATCACATATATATGTACATTATGATTTTTTTTCTAGTTCTTTTTCACCAATCAGTATAATAAGTGATCACGTTCAATCTATATTCGCTTCGATCAAGGGGTTATCTGACGGTCACGTCGTCTTTTTCTTTATTTTTTCCTCTACTTTCGTGATCATCAAAAATTATTTTGAACTCGTGTGTTACTGTGCCCGCTTTATCACCCCTCACAATTTTTTTCTCTATTCATTCATTCACTTTTCGTTCATTCGAACACTATCAACTCTTGGTTGACCGGTCATCATCATCGGATAGGTATCCCCCTCATTTTTTGCTGTATAATTCTATCACATAATTTTTGTTTGTACAGAAACTTCATGGCTCTTAAAAGTCCTCGGTATTGTTTATACCGTGATTTTGTTGATGCTTATATGAAAGGTCATCCTGAAATGACACGATGTGTAAGTTTTAAAAAAAAAATGAAATTTAATTTTGATTTTTTTTTGTGTTTTTCTTTTAAAGATATCTCATCAAAATGCACAAACTGAATGGAATCAAATAAAAAAAGATGAAGATTTTGTTAAACAAAAAATAACTGAATATCTTGATCTATGGAATAAAGCAGGTCAACCAGAACGTGAACCATCAAAAAAATCTCCTAATAAAAAAAAAAGTACACCAAAAAATAATTCACGTAAACGAAATTTTTCATCCGATGATGATGAACAAAATAAAGATCCAAATTTTATTGAATGTTTAACACCAACATTATCTAAACGTAAATTATCAATTGAAATTGATGAAATGGAAAATAAATTATTAGAGAAAGAAAAATCGTGGATTATTCGTTCAGCTGAAAAAGCAGAAAAGAAAAAAGCTCAATTAAATTCTAAATCACCACAAGATGATATTCAAAAAATTAAAACACCAGCACAAGAATCGGTTTTAAAAGATCTTAATGATATATCACAACGTATTGCAAATTTAATTCAAGTTAAAAGTATGGGTTTATTAACAGCTGAAAATCAAAAAACATTAAAAAAATTAATTGAACAAAAACAAAGACGTACAACTGATCTTAAACGTCTTCAATCAAAACAACGTGCATCAACACGTTATCGTGAAAAACAAAAACGACAAGTTGAAAAATTATGTGCATCAAATCCTCAAGTTGCTGTTGAACTTTCAAAAGCATTTCGACCAACAATAACAACAACTCGTATGCAATTTGAAAATGATTGTCCTAATCTTATACAAATTATTGCTGAAATTGCATGTATTGGTGGTGTATCAGATGATAATAATAAAGGAAAAAAACGTTTATCATTAGAAAGTCTTCAAGATGCAATTAAAGTACGTGGTTATGAAATACGTAAATCATCACTTTATTATCGGTAATTTATTACATAAATTTAGAATAAAAAAAAAAACAAAAGGAAAATTTTTTATTTAGTCTTATGCCTCAACGTGCTTTAGGACAAGACGGAAAAAAACATGTTCTTACTGTACCTGTTCGTCTTCGTAAAATGCAAGGCATTGAACCATTACCTAAACATGAAGGTAAGTTGTTAGACTTTTTTTTTCAATCTTATTAAAAGAGAATTTTCTTTTTTTTTTTTTTTGAGATTCTCATTTTACGGCTGCTTCTTGGAAACATATTAAAGATTTAGCTGGTATTTTTGGTAATGATTGTGTTCTCTATTTAACTCAAGATACAAAAGCTAAAGTAAGCATTGGTCGTCCATCAGCTAAAGGACAATCACCATTTATAATGCATCTTGATTATGAAATGAGTTCAATTGATTCACAATCAAATTCAATCATATCACATCATCAATTTACACCATGGTAAATAAAATAGTTGATCAGTTTATTTTTTGTTGAATTTCAAAGTAAATTCTTTTTTTTTCTAGTATTTATGCTGCATCAATTATTGATGAAACAGGTTTAATTACAAATGCTGGTCCAACATATATATCAATACGATCAGCTAAACATGATCGTTTAACACATGAAAGTCATTCAATTGATTTTGATCGTTTAG